GGATCTACGATGAAGCTCATTTGCATATGGAAAAAAGTCTGGACAGAAATTAATAATTTACGCGACGAATCTACAAGGTAAATGGGCAGAGACCAAGCTGGCATACAATAAGTCACCATACAAAAAGTCGGCTTACCATGCAATCAAGCTAGCATGCAATAACTTGTTTACGATATCACCCATGGTGGAAGTGGACGTAAAACTCTAGGAATGAACGAACGAGCATGCAATAAGGAATTCTCTGGATGACCATGACTTCTGTGAAATCATGTGTTTGGTATGGCTAATCCGGGCCTTCAATAAACCCCAGAATTTTACTTCATAACACCCCCCCCCCCCCAACCCCAATTCACTTCAACATTAATCTTTTTATCTATTTTTTAAAGTAGGGAGCCACGGTGGCTAAGTGGGTAAGACACTGGCTTGCTAGCCTGTAGGTCGCGTGTTTGATCCCTGCATTGGACGAGAAAGTATATCGTTATTTTTCAACGTGGTTTCACCTTGTCAGTGGTGCAGGAAAGAGGGCCTGACAAGGACAGCTGTCTAATCGTTTGTATGTGCACGTAAAAGATCCCATGGCAGTTGGAATTCGATATAAGAGTAGGCCATAGTGCCGCTGCCCAGGCAAAATTTCTAGAATTCGTATTAGGACAGGTACATGTATGTTGACTTTAAATACCCCCACTCCCGTCATTTCGTACCACCCGACTTGGATCGTTTTTCTTTACTCTTGTCAGTGATACTGGGCGGACAAGGATAACTATCTAATGATTTGGATGGGACAAAAAAAAACAAAACAATGCCCCATGTACACATTAGCATGCACGTAAAAGAACCCTTGGCAGTTGGAATTTGATACATGAGTACTGTATAAAGCTGCTGTCCGGGCAAATTTTCCCTCATAGCACACTGCATGGTGTATGCCCATTTTCATTAGCCTAGTCAGAGCAGAACAGTAGGATGTCAAACCCAAATTTCATCTAATTTCATGTGAGTACCACCCCCTTCCACTGACCTTGTAGATTGATCATGTAAATTATTAATTTCCGTCCTAGTCCGGAACTTTTTCCGTATGCAAATGAGCTTCGCCATAGATTCCATATAAGGTATATGTTCTAATATGCCCATTTTCATTAGCCTAGTCAGAGCAGAACAGTAGGACGTCAAACCCCATTTCATCTCATTTCATGTGAGTACCACCCCTTTCCACTGACCTTGACCTTGTAGATTGATCACGTAAATAATTAATTTCCGTCCTAGTCCGGAACTTTTTCCGTATGCAAATGAGCTTCGCCATAGATTCCATATAAGGTATATGTTCTAATATGCCGAGTTCTATTATGAATTTGTCTATTACGAAAATGCGGAATGGAGAAGTGTAATGTGCAAAATAATTATTATACTGTATTTAGTATTAATGAAAAGTGTATTCTGTTTTTTAACACTGTGACATTGGTATTGTGGAGCAATGGAAATGGCAAACTGTAAAACTAAAATACACATTTTGTACGGCTGACATATATATTTTGCACCGTGAACATTGAAATAATATTGGCAACGTTATCTTTCCATAGTTATTGTCTGAAAGTGCGAGGGCGTGGGATTGGGAATCTTGATTTCTTTGACAAGCAAAATTATTCTAAATCTATAAAAATAAAATGGTAAGCACGTGTGCGCTGTATCATAAGGCCTGTCATTGAGTCAACTGGCGTGGTTTCGAATCCCCAGTTGTATGTGACAAGGAGTACGGTCGACTGTCCAACCTCGTGTGTTTTCTCCGGGTCCTCCGGTTTCCTCCCACTGCTAAAGACCCCTACGTGCAAGCGAATTATTGAAATAAAATTAAACCATGTTAGTCCCGAAATGAGCTAGTCTGCGTTGAGTGGACGTTAAACACCATTTCTCTCTCTCGGTATCAAATTAACCAGATTGACCCCATAAATGTTTTAGGCCATCGAATTTGTGCCCTGGGCGAATAACGCTTCCTCGCTGCGCTACACCCTCACATATGTGGTATCAAATTAACCAGGGCAAATTTTGGCCCCGGCAAATTGGGCTCCTGTTGAATTTGGGCCCCGGGCAAAGCTGGGCATCCTGCTGGTATTTAATATGTCTATTGTCCTTTAAATATTATCACAAAAGCCACATGACTCGACTGTTTAAGATTAAGAGGGAAGCCACGGTGGCCAAGTGGGTAAGACGCTGGCTCGCTAGCCTGGAGGTTGCATGTTCACTTCCGGTGTTGGCTGACGTGTTTTCCCCTTGTCAGTGGTGCAGGACGAGGTGCACATTGGAGTGCATGTAAAAGATCTCTTGGCATGTTGAATTCGATATAAGAGTAGGTCATAGCACCGCTGTCCAGGCAAAATTTCCCTCATGGCATACTGTATCGCATATGCCTGTCTTCATTAGCCCAGTTGTAGCAGAACAGTCGGACGTTAAAACACATTTCATTTCATTCCATCTAAGATTGAGAAGGGACATTTACCTTTTCTCCGAACAACTTGGTAAGATTTTCTACCATGTCATTAAATCCTTGTGTAAGATGTTCATGATATTCTTTCTGCTCACTTGTTATTAGTTTTGCATTCAAATCTAAGGCATCCTTACAACTATTTACAAAATCTCTGAAAGAACAAACAGTTGCCATGCAAGATACACCCACATTTTGCAAGAGATGGACAGAGAACAAGCTTAAGAAAAATTGATTTTTCGTGTAATCAGGGACTATAATCCAGGAAGTTATGCGCGATTATTGAAAGGAACCAAGATCTTTGGGATACAAACACATACTTTAAGTTTCAACACAAGCCAACAGTGAGGCTGATGTTCCCCACCGATATCCAAAAAGAAATAGATGACACATATTAATTAATTGCACATTTATCTTCTTCAAAAGTATCGCACAATCAAACTGATTATCTATGCTTAGTCTAAGCAGTCTAAGCATAAAATGTTCACGATCAAACCCAGTCAGGGAAATATTAAATCATTGAACTCAGTCAAGAACTTCACCTAATGAACATCTATACCTCAATTAAAAGCAGAGTTGTTATATTCCAAAGTCTTGACCAATCAAATAATTTTCATCAACGAACTTAGTCAAGGTAATGATGAATCTATACTCAGAGTTTCATCACACTCACTTAATTATTACCAAAGTTATCGTGCCCCAAAGCATCAACCAATCAGATTGCTTATCTCTGCTTACCAGAAGCAGACAATGCTTATCATCGAACTCCATCAAGCCATTAACCTACTTAGCTTAAGCAGAAAATTTTCAAAGTCTCAACCAATCAAAATTGCTTATCTCTACTTAGCCTTAGTGAAAAAATGCACGTGATCTGTAGTGTATTTAGACTCTATAATAATGTCACAGTCAGTTGTAGTGTCACTCCTGTTCAATAGGCAGTAACTTAAGAGTTATCTTAATGTCACATGACCTCTCTAGCATACCATGCTTGTTGTTATGGACGTTGACATATTGTTTTCCAAGTATTGAATAAACCTTTAAATATGGAATTAAGATGGTAATATTCAACAATTGGCAACGAGAATGAATTAATTAACGCACAAAGATGTCTCAACACAGAGTATTCGAAGCGTTTGCACCGGCTGATGAGAGTATTGCCTGTTATTTAGCCAGAAACGGACAGTATTTCATCGCTATTGACCTTGACGATAATCGAGACAACAGGGCAAAACGTAAAGCGATTTTACTGAGCAGCATTGGTGCAAAAGTCCTCAAGACTCTGACAGATTTGGCATTTCCCCAAGCACTTGATGAGCTTTCTTACGATGAGATAGCAGAGCTTCTCAAGAAACATTACAAGTCAAAAAGCTGGTGGTAGCCGAACGGAACAAATTATGCCGGTTGAAACAGACACAAGCACAGACTGTTACGGAATTTGCTTCCAGTTTACGACAAGGGGCTATGTATTGTGAATTTGCTGACAACTTGGACCAGAATTTGGGGACACATTTATTGCTGGAATTAGTAACGAAAGCACTCAGAAGAAACTCTTGACACAAGAAAATAATTGTACTTTTGCAAGGGCTTTGGACATTGCTCTCGCAGATGAGGCAGCCTCTCAAATGTGAAAGATCTTTTGGCTGAGGGAGAAAGGCTTCATAAAGTACAGCCACCCTATCATCGACCGTCTTATGACTGCAAATACGCTAACGCTACATGTTACAAATGTAAACAAAGGGGACACCTACGTTCAGAATGTAAACAACAATCACCTCCGTCACAGGAGAAACCTAGTAGTAGGAATCGGAAGAAGAAATATTACAAACAGCATCAATTCTCTTCTAATGTGAACAATGTTGATACCGGTACAGACGACAATGATTCTGATGATTTTATTGGATCAATTCTTAAAGTCACACAGTCGAGTAAGCAGTATCTAGGGATGATGATTTTCCACGATCGTGGAAAAGCCGCAGAAAATGCGGAATTCAAATTGTTAAATGGATTCGTGGAAAATCACGGAATCGTCCGAAAATGAAATTTATTCTGTGTAAAATCAGTAAATTTTATAAAAATAAGTCATCACAATGAATTTTAAAACGAAACATCACATAGTCAAGTCTGAACAGACGAAGCGAGTTCTAAAAAAACTGGGTCAAGTAATACTAATACATTTCATCAAATGAGATAAATAAATGAGCAGTCAAGTGGTAAAAGTGAAATATCCCAAGGAAATATTTTAATCTCATCTAAATCAAACTTGTATTTCCAAAAAATTATTAAAATCTACAAATCTATCAAAGTTGGTTTCTTGTCTCTCGCGTTTCGAGTCATGAATATTTGATGACATATTGTTTTGCTGCATTCTTTGAGGTTATGACATCGACATCACACTTTTGACAGCCTTTCACTGGCTTGGCTTAAACTACAAATGAGCAATGGATTCGCCGTCGTCTGCTAAAAAGGCGAGACGACCTCCATCACACAAATTACTGCTAAAAATCGAGCTCAGCAATTTCAAAACCATTTTTATGAAGATGGTGGAATTATGTTTTGTAAATTCTGTTCACACAGCGTGGACTACAAACAAAGTAATACGGTAAAGGATCATATTGAATCAAAAAAACATCGATCCGCCATGATGGATTCAGCGATAAGGACCGCCCCTAAGCAACAGACAATAACAACATCGATGACGAGGGGAACGGAATCGGCACGTCTCAGAGAAGAGTTTGTGCTTGATTTTCTAAAGATGATAGTTACCGCAGATATTCCTCTGTACAAGCTGGAACGCATACGGCCATTCGTAAGGAAATATTGCTTACAAGGGGGTACTTTGCCTCAACAATCGACAATCCGGCAACTTTATTTACCGAAGTTATTCGACGACCATGTTCAATGTCTGAAGGAAAAGTTCGAAACACGAGAAATTTATATTGTTTTTGACAAAACCACAGATGTTCGAGATCAATCTATTTTAAATATTTTATTTGGGGTATTTAATCAAGTTTACTTGGTTGACTGCATCAGTATGGAGGCCTGCAATTTCTCAACAGTAAACCAAGCAGTTGTGAAGGCTGTCACGTCTTGTGGGATTGATTTCAAGAATGTTCTAGCTGTTGTTACAGATTCTGCAGCATACTGCAAGAAGGCCTTTAATAGTGTCTTGACTGGTATATTTCCTAATGCCCTTCACATCCTGTGTGTTGCTCATATCATGAATTTAGTGGGTGATATTTTCTTGCACTGGCCATCCTTCAACGATGTTAATCTGTTGGTAACCATGATAAAATCCTCATTCTTCAAGAAACCCCAACGAAAAAGACGATTTTTACAGTTTCTGTCGGAATACCTGCCTCCTGATCGTGTTCATTTACCGCCAGAGCCAGTCAAAACAAGATGGAGAACCTGGTTTTCAGCGATAGAGTACCATCTACAGTACATGCATTTATACAATGGCTTCTTTCAACAAGAAAAATCTGCAGGAATAGTTGTGGAGAGCCTCATTGAATTAACTCAGCACAAAGAGTGGTATGCACTCGCCACACTTCAAATTAATTTTATAGCAGAAAACTGTGAGCGCATCATGATACTCATAACTTACCTGGAAGCAACAAGAAGTCCTTTGGCAGTGTATACATATAATCGCCTTGAAGATATCAGAGCATTTCTAACAGCAGGAACAAAGAAGGAATCATTTGGGCCAAAAACTGACGAGGAGCTGTCGAAGTTGCCAGTTCAGGATAGAAAGAAAATTGTGAAAACTTTCAATACAATATTTGAGAAAGCATTGGCAAAATTTGAGACTCACATCAATGTTCATCCTGGTCTGGATTTATATAAAGCTGCTAGAATCTTCAACCCCAGTCAAGCACCCTCCCTTCCTACAGGTATTGAAGAATTTAAAGCTGTTATATGCCGAATGCTGATAGTAACTCAGACAACTATCAGAAATTAGTAGATGAATTTCTGGTCTATAGAAATTTAAAACCAGAAATGCAAGACAATAAGTTGGTACAGTTCTGAAATGCAAGATAAAATGAACTTCCTCAACTCACTCGTTCAGCAAGAAGGGCAATGTGGATGCCAGTTTCCAGCGTGGACGTGGAACGAAGTTTCTCCAGATACAAAGCTCTTTTAACAGAAAAAAGGGAGAGACTGACACAAAAAAATACCAAACAGTAAACTATTCTCTCATGTAATGTTGATATTGAAGAAAGACTTGTGTAATTCTGAAACAGACTGTAACTTTAAATGCCAAAATCAATGAAATTTTAAAAAGTGCCAATGTTGCTATTTCTTTATTTGTTAAAATTTGAACATAAGTGTTAAATTGTTTTTGAAAATTAACTTTAGTTTATTATTTATATTTAATCTAGGGTGGAATTCAAATGTTTTCTTAGCACATCTACTAAGATCAGGTGGAAATTTCCTTTAACAGTAGCGCTAAATTAGGGGTTTAGCCCTTTTCTTTGTTAGCTAGCTGTGGACGCCATTCCATTTAAGTCATTTCGTTGTTTGTATCATTAATGATATTGAGAATCAGTGATCATAACAACATGTTTCCGTAAATCAAGCTATTTACACTGACCAATTTCCTATACCAACACCAGAAGAGGTATTCAGTAAATTGGCTGGCGGAAAGAAGTTCAGAAAAATAGACTTAAAGTAAGTTAAAGTGCGCCTACCAACATACGGTGAATACAATAAAAGGGTTGTTTAGATATACACGTCTTCCTTACGGAATTTTGTCTAGTCCAGCCATATGGCAGCGATTTATCGGAAAAGAGATATCAGGACTTGATGGTACATGCGCAATTATGGACAATGCTCTAGTTACCCGGAAGGAAGACAATGAACATTTGCGTAATTTGGAGAGAGAGAGAGAGAAATGGGGTTTAACGTCCACTCGACACAAACTAGGTCATTTTGGGACTAACATATGGTTTAATTTTATTTCAATAATTCGCTAGCGCATAGGGGTCTTTAGCAGTGGGAGGAAACCGGAGGACCCGGAGAAAACCCACGAGGTTGGACAGGCGACCCTACTCCTTGTCACGTACAACCGGGGATTCGAAACCACGCCAGTCGACTCAATGACAGACTTTATGATACAGCGCGCGCACGCTAACCATTCAGCCATCCAACCCCCCCTGCGTAATTTGGAAAATGTATTCCAACGATTCAGCAAGTATAATCTACGAGTTAAGGCTGAAAAATGTGGCTTCATGAGAGAAAGTGTTGTATATATGGGACGTAGACTATCTGAGCAGGGTATTCAACCTACGGAAGATAAGGTGAAGGCTATACGTAAGGCTTCGACACCAACCAACGTTACAGAGCTTCGCTCATGGTTGGGTATAGTGAATTTCCATGCACAGTTTCTAGCAAACTTATCATCGAAGATGTACCCTTTAAATGAACTGTTAGGCAATAAACTATGGAAGTGGTCGCAGAAGTGTGAACTCGCCTTTAACGAGATCAAGGAATTTATTAGCTCAGAGAAACTTTTAGCTCATTACGATGCAACATTACCGTTAATGCTGCCAACAGATGCATTGCCTTATGGATTAGGTGCCGTTATATTTCATACGGATGGAAATGGTAAACAGCAACCTATAGCGTATGCATCACATAGTCTGAACAAACATGAAAAGGGTTACACCCAGTTGGATAAAGAGGCTTTATCAATTATCTTTGGATTAAAAAGATTCCAAACGTATTTGTATGGTCGTTTTTTCCGGATTCCATCAGATCATAAACCACTTCAACATATCCTGGGATCAAAGACTGCAATCCCGACTCTTGCAGCACAACGCTTACAACGGTGGGCAATACAGTTATCTGCTTTCGATTATGAACTCCATTATATCTCGTCAAAGGATAATGTCTTAGCAGACGCTTTATCAAGGTTACCTTTACCTTGTACGAGTAAATCATCTGATCTTGAAGAGACTGTTTTCAATACAGAAGAAAAGATTCTCTATAGTTTCCCAGTGACAAGTAAAGAGATCAGGCGTGCTACACACGTTGATAAGGTTACCTCTCGAGTTTTAGATTTTATTAGGAATGGATGGCCGATAGAGGTTCAAGATGAACGTTTAAAACCTTGTTTTCAACGGAAGCATGAACTTACGATGGAGCAAGATTGTATTTTATGGGGATTAAGAGTAGTTGTTCCAGAGAAATATCAACAAGATCTTCTGAACAACCTACACTCATCTCAACCAGGTATGGTTCGTATGAAGGAGTTGGCATGAAGCTACGTATGGTGGCCCAACATCACTCAAGAGATAGAAACTTTAGTACGTCAGTGCTCAAGCTGTCAACAAACACGCAACTCTCCATCAGTTGCTCCCTTAATGCCCTGGATATGGCCTAGTGCACCGTGGTATAGAGTTCACATTGATCATGCTGAGAAAAATGGGCAAAATTTTCTAATCATTGTTGACTTATATTCTAAATGGCCAGAAGTGATTCATATGAAAAGTACAACTTCAACCGCAACGATTACAGCAATACAAGACTTATTCAGTAAATATGGCATACCATCTCAAATTGTGAGTGATAACCGACCTCAGTTTGTTAGTGAGGAGTTTCAAACATTTTTAAAGAAGAACAGTGTCAAACACGTAAGAGTCGCACCATATCATTCAGCCAGTAATGGTGCAGACGAACACATAGTTCAGTCGTTCATACGTGGACTTACAGCTAGTAAATCTAGTGGTTGGACCTTACAACAAATTATTGACGCATTCCTACTCGCATATCGTTCCACGTCACACGCCACTACAGGATGTACTCCTTCCAAACTATTTTTAGGACGTGAGTTAAGGACAAGATTATCGCTTGTAAAACCTAATTTGGAAGAAAATGTTCTAAATAAAAAAAAGCGATCAGAAATTACATCATGATAAGAGACTTCCTTTAAGAGAATATTATCCAGGAGATCCTGTTCCAATCAAAGATTTAAGGAAGAAGGAGACATGGTGGCCAGGAACTGTCACAGAAAGGACACCGCCGAAATCATCGTGTTAGATGATGGTCGTGTTTGGAAACGTCATGTAGACCAAATGCGCAAGGGAGATAACAACATAAACTCGGATCAAAACACAAAGCGTAATAGTGATGAAAGTTATAAATCGTCAAATCCAGTGCACATTCCAAATGACAATTTGTTGAACGCTAGTTATTATAATACTCAACCAGTAAATGGTGTGAGTATAGTACAACCATATGACTTAAGTTTGGACGCTTGTGTACAAGGAAATCAACCACAATGTCGATATGAAAGTCATAATGTCGCTCAATATGAAACGTCAGCGTACGGAAGTGATAACGAAATTGAAGAAGATACTGACATTTCTAGTACTGTGGATAAATCTAAATCAACTATACAAACGAGCACGCCAAAACACTCTTTACCTTCATCACTGAAACAAACGACATCAGGAAGTAATCCAGCTAAATGGAACATATATCACACAACGATCCCTCAAGTCAGTCATCCCAGATGTTACGTCATTCTTCCAGAGTTACTAAACCACCTGATAGACTGAATTTGTAATTTCGGACAAACACTAATTATATTTTCAATTTAAAGTGCAAACAATGCATTTGTGTTAAATAGTTATGTTACGTTTGTATGTGAATTACTCGTTGCAAAAGAAATAGCATTGATAGTTTTGTTCAGAAAAATAAGACTATACATGTATATTAGGAATCAGTTTATTAACATTTATCATGTTTTCAAATAAGGAAGAAGGAATGTAGTGTATTTAGACTCTATAATAATGTCACAGTCAGTTGTAGTGTCACTCCTGTTATAGGCAGTACCTTAAGAGTTATCTTAATGTCACATGACCTCTCTAGCATACCATGCTTGTTGTTATGGACGCTGACATATTGTTTTC